GGGAGTTGAAGAAGCTGGAATGTTCTGTTTAGAAGCCCTTGAAATGAAACATTTTGATTTTTATCTGAGCCATAACTATTTTTCCTTTTGAAACTTCCTTCTGGTTTAGTTCCGAGCATTCAAGAACCCTCAAAAAAAAGTCCTCGAACCAGAAGCAAAATATTTCCTTTGTCTCTTGATAGTTGCCAGTGAACCGAAAAAGCCATTTATTCTCCCAGCGCTGGTTGTATCCTCCCAGGTAGCTTCTTGGGACGTCTGTTCTCAGCAGTGGGTGTGAGTCTCCTTTCTGCCATGGGTCGGATTCCACTGGCTTCCACGAGGTTACTTTTTGGTTTGGGCTGGCGGAAGGGGACTGGCGGTAAACTGCCCACCCGCTGCCTTCTTCCATCCCAGAGGCAGCAGCGTTTCAGCAGGTAGAAGACCTCCCAGAGCACTCTGGGGTCCAACGTGGGAGGCAGGTGCTACGGAAATGTGGTGTATCACCGTGTTGCTATTGAGTATTGCCCTCTACTTCTCAACAGCGGGCATAGACTGCCTGCTTGGCAAAGCAAGGCCTCTGTAGTTGGGGATGTTCGGGTTCATGTAGAGGAAGCCCTTACAGCGCCATTTCCCCACCAGGGCTGTGGCTCACAGACGTGTTGCCGATCTCCAGTGCATGCCCCAGAGCAATGAGCAACCCAATAGGATGGAGGGGAACGACTCTGGGTAAAGAGGATCCTGCAAAACCGGGGGCCTCCGGGTCCAGCAGCTCTGGAGGAGGGGTCTGCAGCAAGAGGGTGTAATGGGATCCGTCGGGGAATTTGTGCCACCTATGCAGCCCCAGGGGTGCAGCGCCACAGGGGCACTGATGATGACCCACCAACCAGGCATGGCCAACACCTCGGTCAGGTCCTGTGGGGGGGAAGAAGGAGCCTTTTCATCACCCCTCAGCACCAGTCTACAAGGACCTTGAGTCTCCGTTTGAGCTCCGCTGGCAGCAAGGGCCCCTGGGGCTGGCCAGAGACCTGAAGGGGTTAAAGGCTGCCAGGCTGAGGCAGCCGCATGTGGGGAAGAAAGGCAAAGTACTGAGGAAGGCTTCACAGGTGTGGGAAGAAGGGTCCCCTGAAGGGTTAACTCTGGGCTGGGATATTCAAACACCTCCAGCTGAGGTAAGCACCCAGCTTGTTTGTTCAGGTAAATAAGGAAGGAATTAGATATAATGAGCGAGGGAGGCATTTGCTGAGCACTCTACATTCTGGTGCTCGGCTGCAGGGCTTTGCCAGTGCCTGCGGTACCTACTTTGAGGCAGATGCCCGTAGCTTCGTGCCTCTCCCTGTAGCCCCACAGATTCTCTCCTGCTCCCCCAGCTGCTCAGAGCAGCCAGGTGCTGAGTTCACGTGTGCCCTGGCAGGCGGAGGTCCCTCCTGGTGGCACCTCTCCAGAGGACTTGACGCTTCCCAGACCGCGCGCGGGCAGTGTCCTGGGAGCTGAGCTGCGCTGGGTGAGGGGCACAGCCCTCGTGCCCACTTCCCGGAGCCACATCTCTGCTCCCCCCCAGCCCCCTCCTTGTGCCTGACTGAGATGTTGAATGTCAGTGGGAGACCCCTTCTACCCTTCTTGCTGGACCGATGCTGCTGCTGAGAGCCCACACGTCTCTGCACACCTAGTGGGTAAGTCCAATCCTCTGGCTATGAGAGTGTCATTTCTGGTGCGTCCTCCCTGACAGCGCAGAGTCTATCCTGGGCTCTGAGATCTCCCGGGCTTTTCCCTCTCCCATCTGACCCAGCCTTGCCTCTCCGGCCTACAGCCTGGTGCCAGGCTGGGGGATTGTTGTGTCACTTTATTTGCTTCGTTTTGCACTTTGATTGACTTGGTGGACCCCTGGAGGTGATTGAGGCGCTTTGTGGTGGGGCAGACCATCCATGGAGGGTCTCTTGTATCTCCCTTGGAGGCAACTGGGACTGCTCGTTGCCTAGGGGGCAAATCCAGTGTGAAACTCCCTGCAGGTGGGAGGGACCTGATTGCCAAAGCAAGAAAGGGAGTTAGTTGCTGACAACCCGCTGAAGGTTGCTGGAAACTGTGCACTCATCTTCAATATGCACCTTGGGGAATCTTCCCCTGAGGCCTTTTAGCAAGGGCAGGGTTGCAGGGAGTGGGCAGGGTTTCTGGGATCTCTGCCTTTTGCTGCTTGACCATGACACCACAAGCTCTGTGCCTCACTTTACCCAACTGTGAAATGGGCTAAGTGCCACTTGCTTCTGGGAGGATGCAAAGCTCAGCTGATAGATTAAATTCCTTGGGGATCACTCCGGGGAAACATCCTTGTCCAGCCCTGTTACTGGATCACGTGCGGTGTGAATCACTGCTGCTATGCAGACCACCAGGTTTCTGGGACTGGCCGAGCAAGGCTGGGAATGCACAGGGCTGGTGGACAGGTCTGTAAAAGGCTGGGTAGGGCTTTAACCCTTTAAGGCAGGCCATCAGCATCTCGGAGCCCCTCTCTGCTTTTTTCAGTGCCAAAGGCCAGTTGGCTCCAGGCTTGGCTTTGATGGTTCTGCTCGGGTAGCGAAACACAAACGACACCTTGGCTGCCAACGCCTGTACAATGCCGGCGTTCTCATGGCCGGGGGCCTCTCTGCAGGGCGAGCACCTTGCTGCAATAAATAGGGGCCCTCCAGGGGCTGATGGGGAACACCAAGCTCTGCTGCTCACCTGGGACACACACAAGCTGCTGCTTAATTAAGACCTGCAGCTCGCTGCACCCCTCCCCCCACCCCTGCAGGTGGAGAGGGCAGCTTGACCCGGGGCCGCCAGGACCCATGCGAACATCAAAGGCAGCTCGGAATAGGGCTTCCTCGCCTAAGAGGCTCGACATTGGGGCGGGTAAATGGCAAGGGACCTGGGTGCAGGTGGTCACTGGGGAGGAGTGGGGGAGAAACACTGACTGTGCCTTCCTCTTCCACCCCCCCATGTTCATTCAGAGTCGGCTTTGGCAGGAGAATTTCCAGGAGGCAGGGAGGAGGGGGGTGGAAATGATGAAGGCAAAATGCTCTTTAATATGTCTTGAAGGTAACTGCACCAACAGATCTTCCATAACTATTAACAGGCTGTTTGCTCCCCTGCAGTCAGCCGGGCTCATGCTGGGTCTCTGCATGACCTGTTGATGCCAGAGCTTGAAGGGGTAGAGCTGTTAGCTTCTCTAGAGGAGGAGGAGAGAGCAGTGGGGGGGACTAAACTGAACACCTTGTCCTGCCTTCTGCTGTTTTGTTACCCTCTTTCCCTGCAAAACCAGAGGGAACTGGCAAGAGGTGGGCAGAGCACCCAGTGCATGCTACTGCCGAGGGCAGGCCAGCTGTAGCCTGGGCTCTTCCTGCTTCAGGACTCAAAGGGCAGGTGGAGGTTTGGGGTCCAAGTGCTTGGGGGACTCTTGAAGTCCATGGTGCGTCGTGGATGCTTGCTGTGGTATCAGCCCTTGCGAGGACATGCACGGCTCCCTGTGCACGGGGCGTCCCTGAGCACTGGGTGCACCAGCTCCAAGGGTGAGGGGTGCTTTCTAGGCCATCCCACCCCAGAGCAGAAGGCCAGACCTAAATGCTCCCTCAAATGCAGCAGCTCAGAACCACCCCGGATCCAGAACCAGGGACAGTTCTCTGACGAGGAGCTCCTACACCATGGGGAAAGTGCCCCGACTTGCCACCCCGCCCGGCCCCAGGAGCCCACACAGCCGCTGCCCAAGTTGTGCCCAGCCCAGCATACGTGGCTTTGTGGAGAGGAGAGCTGGGAGAGACGGTGGGCCTTCTGGAGCGCCAGCTGTCAGCTGGGAGGATCCTGAAGTAGGTGGGTAGTGTTGGGCCAATTCTATGCATCCTGAGCAGTCAATCTGTCCTCAAGCCCATCTGATAACTCGGGAGAGCTTCCTACTCCGACTCCATTCCTGTCTGTCCTCAGTGAACTCTCTTGCTAACTGCTGTCTGCTAACTGCAGAGGAGGTTTTTTTCAGAAACAACCAGGAATTCGGTGCCCCACTCGACCAGCTCTGACAAGTCCTTGTTTCTTTATAGTGTCGAGCTCCTGCCTTGTGAAAATTAGGCCCCTTCTGGGTATTTCAAGAAAAGCATTCAAAACCAGAGGCACCCAGAATTGGTAGTCACTTGCCACCGGTATATTCACAAGCCATCCTCTCTGCACCCAGCCTGGTGCAATTTGCTCTGGCCACCAGCTCCCTCTTTGGTTACAGGAGTGGCAGAGTGCTTTCATGTTTAATCTTGCGGCCCCCAATAAAAGCATCTCATTTCCTTTGTGCCACCAGATGTCTGACTGGCAAAGCAAATAGGCTCTAAATTATTCCATACCCAACCTGCTGGACTTTGATAGCCTCTGTTTCCAGGTGCTCTCCCTTCAAAGTAAGATGAGGGTGACTCTGCTTAGGCCTGTTCCTGTTACCCTGGTATGATGTGTTGTATTTCTAGAGCACAGAGCGCTTGAGGCTGGAAAAGCCAGTGGTGATGTCAGGCAGGGGTCTGTCAGGCATGTGTCCTGCCCATGATGGGCAGGAATAAGCTGACAGGTGACTTCAGGGTCAGTGGTGATGGGCAGCAGGATAAAAGTGGCTGTGTTGAATGAGCCATAGCATCTGAGAGATGAGGTGAGGTGAAAAGTGCTAGGGTCTTCAGCTGTCCTTCCACATAGCCTGTTTCTGGAGGGGATGCCCTGGGCAGGAGTCACTGTTATCATGTGGGGTGGAGAAGGAAGTGGTGGACGCTTTGGGATTACTCTTCCAGGTGGCTGCAGGAAGCTGTGTAAATGGGGGAAGCTGTGGAGCAGGGATGGGTCCACACCAAAACATCAAACCAGGAGCACAGCAAGGCACAACTTAGCAGCTCCACCAAAGTCCTGGATCCCAACCAGGCAGTTTGGAGATGTCACAAAGGGCAATTCCTGGTGCATGTGAGGGGTCTCTGCAGAGCAGCCTCTGTGGAGGTGGGTGGTCAAGGGCATGAGAGTAGACTCTAACTCCCCCAGACTGGGATTGGAGCTATGATTGCTGCAGCATCAAAGAGCCCAGGAGGGCAGAGCAGAAGCTGCTAGCCAGAGGGAAGGTGAGCCAGTCCCTGGAGAGCTACTGGGAAGTCCTGGGGCTCAGGGAGGGGTAAACAGATGGAGTTTGGGGGCAGGGGGACAAGAGATTGGGAGAGAGGGAAGAATTTGTATGACAGAGGCTGAGTTTTTCCAGCCCAGTTTTGCAGAGGCTAGAGCTGCAGGTAAGGTCAGCATGAGCCTTGGCATCTCTTGAGCATAGCTGCCCTCAGCCTCTGGGCGCTGAGACACCAGTTTCTGCTGAGAAGCCTTTTGCCTCTGTGAGAAGGACTGGCTCTCCCAGGGTGATGGTCTGAGCTGGAGTTAGGCTGGGAGAAAGAATTGGGCAGGGCCAAGCGGCCCAGCCTTGGGCTGTGCTCCTCCACAGGCCGAGGGCTGATGAATGGGTGCCCGATGGTGACCCCTGCACACCCACCCCCAAAGACTGGAAACTGCTCTGGTCCCTCCAGCCAGCAGGTCTGCCTGGTGCTGAACCCAGTACAGGATCAGGCAGCTGGGGGCACTGGCAGACTGCAGCACGGTACAAGAGACAGCTCAAGACCTAGAAGCGGTCCAGCCTCAGCAACGCGTGGGCCACTTGATCCAAGGAGAAGTGTAATTTAGTTTGCACGGGACCTTGAGCTCCTTTGGCCAGATGGCTGCCTGGTCCTTCAGCTCTGATGTGCAGGTCTCTCCCTACCTGGTGGGGCTCCCAGTTATGCCCTTGAGCAGAACCCAAAGCCCAGAGATGGAAGGAAAGAGCAAGGTAATCAACCCTGCTTGAGCCTAGAGCAAAAACTGAGGTTTGGGCTTAGGGATCAGGTCAAGTCTTGTTTTACCCACCTTGATTTGCCTGGTCTTGTAGTATATCAGTGATCACTGAGCTGGCAGCCAGAAAGAACCTGGCCAGCTCACACTGGGGGAGCTGCTAAAAGACATGAACTTCTCCTGTGACTTTTGTATTATTGGAGAGGTGGCTGTGCCGATGCACCCAGCATTTCCTACAGCAGGTGGTTTAGAGATGCAGAGCCAGCGTGTTGCTTTTGAGCTCCCCCACATAACTCTGGGCTGTGGTTGCCTTGGATCTGATTTCAGCTGAGGCAGCAGAAAGCCTAGGGAAACTCAAACAAGCTTTGTGAAACACAGGAAATGGTTGAGGTTTCCTACAGCCACACATGCCCCCAGGCTGCCCTGTCTTCTGCTTCCAACCCCTCTGCCTATTTGCTTGCAGTCACGAACAGTTGGAAGGACTTTCCAAGCATCACCCTAACCCAACCCGTTTAACTGCAGCTTTAATTTTTATTAATGAGCTCATTGTTTAAGGCTGGTGTGTTCTTGGCTCTCGAAGGGCCTGAACCCAAGTTTGCTGGAGTCAGGACCAGAGATCACCTTGACTTGGAGCAGGCTCGTCGTTACACTAATGCACCCATTACTCCTCAGTAGATCTTGGAGCATTTCACAAAGGAGGACAGTATTGTTGTCCTCATCCTACAGATGGGAAACAGAAGCAGGAAGGGAAAGTGGATTATCTGCAGTCATCCAACCAGCAACGCCTGGGACAGGACCAGCTGTCCTGGGGTCCAGCCTGGTGCTA